CCGTGCTAATCCTCCTCTTTTTGCTGAGGAAGACCAGCTCTGAGCTAACATCCATTGCCAATCCTCCTCCTTTTTTTTTCCCCAAAGCCCCCCAGTAGATAGTTGTATGTCACAGTTGCACATCCTTCTAATTGCTGTATGTGGGATGCGGCCTCAGCATGGCCAGAGAAGCGGTGCGTCGGTGCGCGCCCTGGATCCGAACCCGGGCCACCAGTAGCGGAGCGCGCGCACTTACTTAACTGCCAAGCCACGGGGCCGGCCCCTCCACTCACCTTTGTATTACCATTTCTATCACCCTTTTAGTTACGATCTATCAGAAAAAATACAAATTGTGACCATGATAGTGCCTTTTCTCCAATACCCCTTATTTTAATGACATAATAAAAGCTTCAGAAAAGTATGGGGAGAAGTTGGCACACTTGTGCCCTGTTAGTAGGAATGTAAAATGGTGCAGCTGCTGTGGAAAACAGCTGGAGGTTTCTCAAAAAATTAAAAATAGAATTACGTATGATCCAGCAATCCCACTTCTGGGTATATATCCAAAAGAAATAGAAGCAGGATCTCAAAGAGATATTGGCACATCCATGTTCACTGCAGCATTATTCACAAGAGCCAAGTGGTGGAAGCAACCCAGGTGTCCACTGATGAATGAACGGTTGAGGAAAATGTGGCCTGTACCTACAATGGAATATTATTCAGCCTTAAAAAAGAAGGGAATCCTGTCACATGCCACAACATGGATAAACCTTGAGGTCATTACGCTAAGTCATTAAGAGGACATTATGAAATCAGCCAGTCAAAAAGACGGGTACTGTATGATTCCACTTATATGAGGTATCTAGAGTAGTCAAACTCACGGAAACAGAAAGTCAAATAGAGGTTGCCAGGAGCTGGGGGGGAGGGGGAATTGGGGAGTTGTTCAATGGGTGTAGAGTTTCAGTTTTGAAAGATGAAAAAGTTCTAGAGATCTACTATAACAACGTGAATATAGTTAACACTACTGAACTGTACACTTAAAAATGGTTAAGATGGTAAATTTTATATGTCTTTTGCCACAACTAAAAATTTTTAAAAAGCTTCAGTAAAGACTCAGGCAGAATGCACTACAGCAGATCTAAAGCCGCATGTTATATGTCTGTGATTCTGAAGCTCGAACAAAACGTTCTCAAATGCTATCAACCAACGCGCGGATCCCTCCAAGTCCTCTCTTCAACCCTTAAGGAAAAAAAAACAAAAAACTTTATGGGAATCCTGCCAACTCTCATTTTTATAACAAAAGGCCTAATAAATTAGTTTTTGATTCCAAATTGCCTCCAAGCCTCACATCTGTGTATAGTGCTGTAGAATAAATTCCATTCATCACAGTTACCACTTGTGTCAGGCCTGATGATTTTTACAAGTCCAACCTTCATGAAATTGTTCAAAAATTTTTTCAGTCAGCATCTTTGAGATCAAGTCCCCAAAACACGAAAGTAATCAATTGGTGGTTTAGGAATGTCAGTAGCAACACATCATAGTTAGGGCAGGCACACACACATTTACACAGTTTGTATGTGTGTGCATGTGCAGGCCCACATGTGCACAAGATCACCCTGGTAGATATTAAATAGACAAGTTTTCCTTACTCCTAAGGTTTTGTGACACTACATCATCAACCATCCTAAAATATTTAGACTTGCCCACTCAGCTAAAGAATACTGATATCCTATCAGTGTGGGAACATACAGAGTTTTCTGTTAAGGATAACTTTAGTGTTATAAGTGCTCATGAAGTAACGAACTAAGGTTCTTACTGATCAAAACACTGTCCTTCTATTCTGCCTATTAAAGATTATGGAAGGGCAGGGGCCAGCCCAGTGGCGCAAGCGGTTAGGTGCACGCGCTCCGCTGCGGTGGCCCGGGGTTCGCCGGTTCGGATCCCGGGCATGCACCGACGCACCACATGGCAAGCCATGCTGTGGCGGCGTCCCATATAAAGTGGAGGAAGATGGGCACAGATGTTAGCCCAGGGCCAGTCTTCCTCAGCAAAAAGAGGAGGATTGGCAGATGTTAGCTCAGGGCCGATCTTCCTCAAAAAAAAAAAAAAGGTTATGGAAGGGCAAATGGCAAAAATCGTTACACAGGAGAAGGGCCTGTAATTTGAAGCGATTACAATCAAAATTTTGTTATCATCCTACCAGAGCCTGCCATTTCTGACTCATCAAACATAAAAAGTTAAAAAATAAACAAGAGCCTAGGACTTGAGTCAAAGTCCCATGGCATTTATTATTTCCTGGAGAAGCACAAAGGTTGCTATCATCTCGATAACTATACACAGTTTGCGTCTCACTGTGTACACAGAAACCACAGGGAAAAAGAAGCCAAAACTCACCTGGGTAACCACAGGAAGTCAGCCTGCTAACTCCCCAGAAGCTCACACACAATTTTAGAGGCGTAAGGGAACTTACCATCCAACCTGACCACCACCTCGTTTTTCAAATGAGGAAACTGAGGCTGAGAAAGGCTGGATGATTTCTCCCAAGCCTCAACTAGCCAAGCCCAGTGGCACCCCGATCTCCTGACTTCAGTAACAGTACTGACAATGGCCTCCGATCTGAAGCCACTTTTGTAAATGCCATAAAATAGCTTTGTGACCTAAAAAATGTTTCCCCTAGATTTTACTGGCCATCTGCTGGCTTTTCTCTAACAACAGAACAGCAATGGAACAGTAGGCGTGTTAAATGAAGTGCCCAACTAGAATCTGTCATTTGGTGGGGTCTCAGGATACCTCCACTTATTTAATTTCATCCTTCCTTAAATAAAAACATACCCCTTTTCAGTGAAGGGAGGCATTTATATGGAGATGGACAAAAAATAATGTAAAACTAAAATTTCACAGTTATAAACTATTAAGACATCAATAAAAAAATACCCCTTTTCAAAAAAATTTTTCAAGTTGTTTATACAACCTACTAAGACTCATATCTAGGATATATTTTACATGTCCATATCTTATAATTCATACTGCCATATCTTTTTAGTATACTATTTAACAAAAACAAATGTTTGATCTTTTTGTTATATATGTCACTTAGGCCTCCCTTGTTAACTGGTCACACTTCTCTTCTGCCTGACAGGAATAAAAAGAATGCTGTAAAATACTAGATTCTTAACTTTCAGCTTTCCTGTTAAGTAGAGGTAACGTTTGGCTCTACTGGGAAAGGTTTTAATAAGCTCAACCACCACTGATGTCATCAAGTGAGTCTTCATCTCTTAAAACAAATAAGAAAAATCTTTGCTCTAATTTCTGTTCTTTTAACAGTTCTAATCTTCTAAGTTTACTCAAGGTATCTCAAAGTCTTACTCATAATTCTCTAATATGGAGTAATTCTAGAGAGAGGCACAAGATTTTTTTCTTTCATGAACTAAAGGACATTCAGAGGCCCAAAAATACTTACGTGAAGGAGAGCAATTTCCGAGAGAGAAAAGGCAGGTCAGAGACAGGCATCAAAGGCTTTCAATTACCACCCTGGAACGCAGGGGCCCCTGATTTATATTACCCCTGGAGCAGGCAGGCTGGGCAAACAACAAACTGATTCAGAAAATCTCAGACTGAAATCTGTAAAATGGGGGCTAATGCCTCCTACCAAACACTGCTCTTAATATTATAGTAATATTTTTATAATCTCCTCCAAGATGAAAGTGATACACAAATTATAAGTATTACAAATAAACCCCCGAAAATCTAGTTATATTTCTTCTTTATTATCCCCTGATACCAAACTACAGCTGTCTCAACAAAGAGGAACAGTGCACTACAGCTAAATAACCCCCACAAAGGACCAACCATCTTCCAGGCACAGCCAGCCTATCTGACTTGGCTTTTCTATGCTGAGCACATCCCTCTCCCTCCAAGGAACACAGGTCTCCCATTCCCATCTCCGTCTCTCTCTCTCTCCCCCTCCAATTTTTGTTATTTGCAGGGGGAAAAAAAAAATCAATTCCTCAACCTCCACTCCAAGAAAAGTTTCTAGATTTTTTTTTGCACTTTTCTCCTAAATCACTTTCAATAAATGTTTAAGGTTATGATCATTTTAACGGGCACTGAGTACAAACCTAAAACAGGTAAATGCAGCAGGAGAAGATGCAAATGCAAAGAACATATTAGTTTTTTTTTAATTAAAAAAATGGAAGTCTTTTTCAGCTTTTCCTGCCTCCCAGAAGAAGGCCTGAGAGTCACAAATGCCCTCTGAACACCACAGCAAACGAAGCCACAGGTCACCATTGTCTTCAGGCCATCAGAACATGTGCCCCTTGAATGTTCCTGCTTTTCCAGCTTGACTTCTTCTAATCTTCCCACCTTGCATTAATGTAACATTTCTCAATATGGAGGGCCCTCCTTGCAGGAGGAGAGAGGAGCCCCCTCTCCAGAAGACTTATTTTCACAATGAAATTTTATAATCAATACCTCATACACAGGCCTATGAGCGGACACTGAGCTAGGCACCTTCCATATTATTTTAAGTTCTCGCAACAATCCCACAAGGTGGACATTATGATTCTCTTCCTATAGAAGTAACTTGCCCACCACCTTATAGCTAGTAATGGGCAGAGCAGGGATTCAATCTCAGACTCCAGGCCTCTAAAGCCATTCTTCCATTCTCAGCATCAGCCCTAAGACCGACAGTCCTGGGTGCCGGAATCCAAACCCAAGAACATCCGGGTGCCCACCCCAGGAAGACTCCAAACATGCATGCGGACAGGCAGACTGAGAGCGCCTCAGGGCCCATACGGTTTCCAAAGGCTGGAGAGAATACAGACAAATATGAGCTAAGGAAAATGTAATATAATCCTGAAAACTGGAGTCCACATCATAGAGACAAAAAAAAAAAAAAAAATCCAAACAGTGGCCTGCCTTGCAGATTTGTGACCAAAATACCCCAAGCAGCTGGCACCCAGGAGAGAAAACGTGACGTGAGGTTTCATATAATCAAAACCAAACTCACTTCCCTCCCTCCTCTCTTTCCCATGGTAAGTCCTAGGGACTGTAACATTGAGTCCTTGCTCTCTCAAGCCCTTTGCCTCCACCCCACTTTCAGGGCCTCTCCTCGTCTCTTCCCTGGATGAACATGACCGTCTCCTAAAACGGCTTCCCTCCCTCTAGCCATCTCCTCACTGAGCCATCCCCCACAGTGTCCTGAGATACCAGTCAGATCCTACCATTCCCTGACCCCATACAGTGGTTCTCAGGCTAAGTCATTAGGGGCCTCAGGACCCCTGGGGGTAGAAATCAAGGGGAGGCCACTCTGTTTCATCCAGGGTGTCTCCCAGTTTGCCTTTTTACATATTGAGGTGACAAATAATATTCTATTTGAAAATAAAAATTCTCCTGAGCTAAATTTTGAAAACCACTGGCCAGGCCGGCCCAGTGGCGCAAGCAGTTAAGTGCACGCCCTCCACTGCGGCGGCCCAGGGTTCGCTGGTTTGGATCCCGGGCGCACACCAACGCACTGCTTGGCAAGCCATGCTGTGGCGGCGTCCCATATAAAGTGTAGGAAGATGGGCACGGATGTTAGCCCACAGTCAGTCTTCGTCAGCAAAAAAAAGGAGAGGATTGGCAGATGTTAGCAAAGGGTTGATCTCCTCACAAAAAAAAAAAAAAAGAAAGAAAACCACTGGCCAAAAGGACACAGGCTAAACTCCTTGGCATGGCATTCAAGGCCCTCCTTGTCCACTCCTATGGTTCTACCTTGAGCTCCCTCTGCATGTGGCTCCCTAAGACAGCCAGGCACCATCATGCTATTCATGGCACCGCTTACTCAGCCTAAAACTCCCTTCCATCTACTGACATGGCCTCTCCTCTGTGAGAAATGAAGATCTTTTCTACTGACCACAGATGTGTTTTCACTTAATCACCTATCTCTGTATTTCTAACACTAATCACAGTACCTGGCATATAGGTGCTTAATAAATATTTCACTCATTCATTCACTAATAAATGAATGAAACAAAAAAGTCAAATGCCACCTCACTCTAATAATCATGATTCACAAAGCTTAAAAAATAGATCACTTAAGTGTACTTTTACATGTACCTGCTACCACCGGGTTTTCCAACACTGTTAGTTAAAAATCTCATCAGTGGATTGATACTAGCATTACAAAAAAATGGAAGAGAACAGAAAATATCAGAGTACCTCAGGTAGCACAAGTAAACACTACTTCGTGAAATTTAAATGTGGGTGTATACAGAAGTATACCCATATACATAAATTTCTGTGTGTGCTAGACTGCCATATAAAACATATTTCTTACGGATATTGTACC